GTTTCATTTCGTCGTGGTGACCGACTCTTCACCTGTGGATCCGTTTTCGGATCTTGCAAGCCTTGGTTACTCGAGGGGATGTTGTTGTCCCTCTCCACGCGATGCCCTTTCAGTTTCACCCTCGCTATAGCTCGGTTTTTCAAGGAGGGGGGTGTGCACCATCCTAGGGGTCCTACACAGGCCCTTCAGGCCTGGCATTTTCCTTTTCGGCCCCCAGGCCGCACAGCTCCTGCGGCTGGGCGACTGAGTGGGCCACAGCCACGTTCTGCGCCTAGGTTCAGACCCTTTGCCCCATTCGCATTCTTTTTCAGCATTATTCATTTTTTTTTGCTGAGTGAGTTTGGGGCCGGGTTTTGTCTGGACTATTTTTTTATGTTTCAGATGTGTAAGTTCAGACTTTCTTTTTGTCAGAACACGCAGATGCCTGTTGGGACCAGTGGATTTCAGTTTCGGCCATTGTAGGCCAGATTCAGATTTGTCCGGGACTAGACCGCCCATTTGTCTGTTTGTGCCTGGCCCTGCATCAGCAGGGCTGTCTGGACGTCCGGTAGGGACCCAGGCAGGCCGTTTTTGGCCAGGATCCTAGGACCAGGACTTGGGTCTGCAATGAGGACCATCGATCGGACATCAGATCCAGCGGCCCTGATTACAGACCGAAACTGCTCAGCCAGGCCCAACGGTATATAGCTGGGCCAGTCCTCCACTTTGGGGACATTCGGGCTGGAGCCTCAGTTGGGTGTCACGCTGCTGGAGCAGCACCAGTTTGGGGAGAGCTGCGGTGGAGCAGCATTAGAGGAGTAGTGGAGCAGGCTGGGGTGGAGAGATTGCCGGGGGCCATGTCCACGAGGGAGAGAGTTACTTACCTGGGCGCCATAGCTCGCACTTCATGCCGGTCATGAGAGCGGCCTTCAGATTCGGGAGGCATCACATTCACTGGTGACTGGTCAGTATTTGTGGCATCATCATCAGGAGCGTGCGAGAGAGGAGAGTTTCTTCTTCTTCTTCCACTTCTTCTCTTGATTCTTCTCTGCTCCTCCATAACCACTATTCTTCTGCTTCTTCTCCTCCTCCCTCTATCTCTTCTTCTTCTTTTTCAGAGAGAGAGAGAGAGAGAGAGAGAGAGAGAGAGAGAGAGAGAGAGAGAGAGAGAGAGAGATTTCAGGCGGTGACTTTCTGGCCTATGTGTGCCCAGGATCTGATTCGACATTTTTGAGGTCGGACATTGGCTGGACATTTGTCGGGGAGACTATTTCTTGGACTATTATGAGTTCTACTCTTGTCTATTCTCCCCTCTGAGACTCCATCTTCGTCTCTCCTCCCTCTTCATCATCCGTGGTTTCTTCCCCATGTGTGTGCGCAAGGAGGGACATTTCTTCTGTGTATGATTCCCCTCCTTGCTGTGTGACATGTGATGATGACTGTGTGACCCGCCAAAAACACTGACTGAGAACACTGCTGATTTCTGGGATTTGCTGCTGGAATGAATGCCTTGCTGAAATTCCCGCATTCTGCTGTGATTTCCATGTCTGTGTGTGTGCGTGCCTGCTGGTTTGCATGCCTGTCTGAGTGCTTGTCGGTTGAGTGTGTGTATGACCCGCAAGGTACTTGTTGGTTGAAGGGCCCCGCAGGGCCGGTACTTACCTGTGGCCGTGACTTTGAGGGTTGCAGAGGGGGAAAACACTCATGTAGCGGGGGTAGGCCCGCAACACTTAGAACAGCGGGGAAAAACACTCAAGTAGTGGTAGGGGTGTCGGGTACTGGAGGCCGAGCAGAAGAAACAAAAAGTTGGCATTTTTAGAGGCCCAGTAGAGGAAGGATAGCGGTAGGCCGGTACCAGTCCAAGTAGCCCGGGTCTAGGGCCTGTAGGGAGGATAGCAGAGCCTGCAATGATGTTTCCCTCCGAAAGGGAGGAGGTACCGGTTGCTGGGAGGCCGCTCGGCCTAGGAAGTCACCGCCCAGGAGGCCGGTAGRCCGCTATATCTCCARGAAGAGCAAARAGCTCTTCCTCATTTGCGGTGTGCAAGGATTGGCGACATGCTGCTGGAGCGCAGCGCTGGACTGAGGCAGCGCTGCTTGGAGGTGAAGGGCCGCTGGAGCTCAGCCTGGCTATGGCGAGCAGTCCAGCTTGAGGAGGAGGAAGAAGGGGGCATGGTAGGAGAGTGGCGGGGCACTTACCTGGCTATGGAAGACACCATCTTCATCACCTTGTTGGGCGCTGCATCTGGAAGGCCCCAGTTGGGGTAGTGCGGCA